TATTATGTCATTTTAAATGTTTATAGTTTCATAAATTAGTTTTCTTTACAGAACAGGATATATCTTTATTTATAGAATAGGAATGTTGGTATTATTAATTGCCTACTATGTCAGTTTTGGAGCCCATTTTGTCAGACGCTCATTTTTGCATAACTTACGAAAAACTTAATTATTATAAAATTGCAAACAGTATTATAAAAATTGCTTATACTGATAGAAGATACCTTTTACTTTGTATTTATGTTTTTGAAGTTGTATTTTTACCTTTTGTTTAAGAAATATTGTCTAAAAACAAAGTGGTATGTCGGTATCGGTGATCTTCCTCTATTTTTTAATTTAAAAAAGCTTTTATATAAATAAAGTTACAAGGACACAAATTCAATTTTATTCTTTCTTTTCAATTGATCTTTATCTTTACAAAATTTCAGATGAATATAGTTATGAAAATATTTATGTTGGAAATTATGACAAATTTTCTTTAGTAACAAATGATAATATCTCTCAATATTTTTGTAAGGAAAAAGTTGCAGTTCCAAATCATATAAATTGATCTGGTAAAAGCAAGGTAATCTGTATAAACTTTATACAAATATAAATTGCTTCTCCGATCGTATCTCAAATAATTAATACTAATTCCGTCTTTCAGCTTCTGCAGTAGTTGCAGAGCTCAAGTCGTATTCGCGTTCACGCTAGCTTATGTGTTATGTCTATAGGGCACGTTTCATAGCTACATACGCGAAGTCCGAGTCACTAGTAACCATCGTATACGAGGCTTATTGCATAACCGTATTATTAATGCGACCGGCATGCACGTGCATCGTGAGCCTCCACGAATCCAGAGAACGGAGCTGGATTGAAACACCGAGCTCGTATCGTGGTTGTTGTGTCTACAAGCGGAAAGTTTTAATTTTCGACATAGGAGAATCAACGGCAGTCGCTGTGGAAGAATGAAAGCACCGGTACTGTAAAAGTCTGATTAATTCATCGGCGAACCGCGTGCGCGCACGAATTGCGATTTGTTCTGGCGAAAGCGAAATTGTGCCTGAGTTCGTTGCGTACACTGCGCGTACATTGTAAATGATAAAAGCGGAGCTAACGTACGCCAATTTTACATTCGCTAAATATTGGCTTACATTCATGGATAATTGTCCTTCTCATATGTATGTGTACACTGTTAAATCTATAGTGTCAAATTTAACTTAATGTGAGTCGCCACTGCTCCTACTCAATCATATCGTTGTTTTTTACTAAAACAATAATTAAATTTGACACTATGACTGCATTCAGAATCGTCGTCCGGATGCATCAAGATGTTATTTTATCCTTGTTGTTCATGAATGTTAAACAAGGATAAAGAACATCTGGGTGCACCCAGATGATAATTCTGAACCCGTGAAGCTGGCCTCCCAATATTAAAAAATAGAATATTTTCTTTTTGCATTCATTTGCTCATCGTTTGCTCACAAATGCTTCGTCGGAATTTTCGTTTGTTCACCCTTAGTTCAAAAGTTCTACGAAATTTAGATTATTAAAAAATTGAATATCTTTTTGCATTCGTTTGCTCATCGTTTGCTCACAAATGCTCCGTCGGAATTTTCGTTTGCTCAACCTTAATTAAAAAGTTATACGAAATTTAAACTTTGGGGGGCCAATTTCACGCTAGCCCCCCACAATTAAAAAATCGAATATTTTTTTTTTGCATTCGTTTGCTCATCGTTTGCTCACGAATGCTCCGTCGGAATTTTCGTTTGCTCACCCTTAGTTCAAAAATTATACGAAATTTAAATTTTGGGGGAGCCAACTTCACACTAGCCCCCCACAATTAAGAAATCGAATATTTTTTTTTGCATTCGTTTGCTCATTGTTTGCTCACGAATGCTCCGTCGGAATTTTCGTTTGCTCACTCTTAGTTCAAAAGTTATACGAAATTTAAATTTTGGGGGATCAGTGTGAACACACGCGGGTTAATTCTGAACGCAGCCTAAATCGTGTCAATTTAATACTATATAATGTCAAATTCACGCTGCATAGTGTCAAATATAACCATTGTTTTAGTATAAAATAACGATATGATTGAGTAGGAGCTGCAGCAACTCATATTAAGTTAAATTTGACATTATCTATTTAACAGTGTATACATATGTGTGTGTAATATTTGTTAATGTTGGCGTTAACATTAGCTGCATGTCTGGAACCGCCTTAAAAATGCAAATCTTTTAGAAGACTTTACCGGAAGAATAATTTAATCCCCTGAGAAAGAAATATTGAATATTAAAAAAAATATAATTTAAAGATTTTAATTATATAATCGAAGATTGAGTAAACTTTTATCATTTCTCTTGAGAAATACACTTTAAATATCCAATATACAAATATTTGGACAAAACTTTGGTTTTAATTTGAAATATAACTGGAATGCACTTCCTGCCGTTCACGGTTCTCGCAAGCGGAAGGTTGTAATGACTCAAAGAAAGAGTCGGTCATTAACACACATGAGGAGGAAATGCCTGGGAGTCATACTTCGCATGCTTGTACTTGATTTCTTGCAAGAAAGTATTACGTTAGCAATTCTACTAATCGGGACGATCAACCGTTAACGGTAATCGACTAGTTCATAGATCTGCAACATCCGCTAAACACAATTATTAAAATTAACTTACGGATTACACATTAGCGACGCATAGAAGGAACAACGTTGTGTGATCAAAATACTTTCTAAAAGAAGATTATTCTAAATATTTTCTAAGAAGGATATTTAAATTCTAATAATACAGAATAGATTTCTAAAAAAGACGCATCCGAGTTTTTTTAAACATCTATTAAAAAATTCAAGTTTTATATTACAATTGTCTTTTAAAGAAATATAGTTAATTTTAAAACAGAACAACAGGGGGGGTTCGAAAATATTTTTTATAAATAAGTGACATAATTCCTCTCTAGTTTTATCACTATAAAAATCTGGATCTTTTATTTTAACATCTTGTTCGCCGAGTATATTTTCGTTGGATTATTCGTAGCAGTTCCGTTCTATGTGTATATACAACCCATTTCAGATAACGTTGTCGCTACCGTCGTTGTTGTCGGGTTAACCGATGAAATCGCCGTTTTACGGCGTAACCGAGGAAAATAGAAAGAAGTCGAGAAACCAACTGAGATGAAGAAGTGGCCCTCGAAGTGGAGCTCTAATCTTCACGTTCATTTAAGAGAGATCGCAGATTTATGTCTCCTAAAGTACTGTGGATGCTGCTCTTTCGGAGCTTGCTTCATAAAGAAAGTTTTAAGTGAAAGACGCGTCTAAAGGTACATTTATTTAACTTAATACATGGTCCTCAGCTGTACATTAGCTCGCATGCGAGCCGACGTGTAAAAAAACTTCTCTAGTGTGCACGCGAAATCACCGTTGCGTCGGTAATTACATCTTACCAGTGCGTGACGCGTTTGTAATGCGCGCGTTTGAAATAACGTTCAGAAAAAAGAGATATGTATATACGTCAAATGGCAAAATGAATTCTTTCCGTTTTGATGTAAAATATAGATGTAGGTTGCGAATGGCACGTTAATATTCAAGATAGAAAAGATATCATTTAATCCTAAATGAGACAAAATTGCGTTTTGCAGAAAAAAACGCCGAAAATTTGTTACTTTCTTTGGAATGACAAGTTTTGATAAAGAGAGACATTTTTTTAACGAAAACGACTGCGTTAAACTCGACTTTCTTTATGGGATAATGCCAAATGCCATTTCGACTTATCGAACGATCGTGCATTAGCTACAAAATGTTACTATTGCTGACTATCATTGCCTTAATGTAAAACAGATACAATGTTAAATATTCGTATCGACTGCCATTGAGTTTGAAAAAAAAAACCAATTTACAATCTATTTTAAAATTTTCAAGATTTTATAAAAAAAATCTACTTCTTTAAAAAATTTATAGATATATATAATCATAAAGTTCTATTAATATTAGAAAAGATTTTTATACATAAATTTATACAATATAAATAGAATTTATAAATAGATTTATAAAAGAT